GTCTAAAGCTAATATCCTTAACATCAAGATGCTGGGCCTCAGGAGGTTTTAAAGATAATATTTTTGTAATAAATATAAATTTATAACAGGACAAACTCAAAAAAGTTTAGTATTGACAGAGTTTTTCCCAATATCTTTTTCCCCCTTAGCATTATTGCAGTGCACCTGAATGACTTTTTGGCTGGACATCAGCTTTAGTGTAATCAATGCATTTGATTGGCAGCACCTGGTGGTGGCGAGGCCCAAAGATCTAATTTTTCAATGACCTGACAGATGAAATCGTAAACTTTTTCAAAACACAGCTCCACTTACTGCATTTCTTTAAATTTTTTTGCTTTTATTTGTAACATAAAAATGAAAGCTGTACTGGTTCCAAACATTTATATATGTGCTTATAGAAACGATGCTACTAGGTTAAAAACAAATCTTATGATTGGCTTCACCTGGGGGGTACCAGAGGCTCAAAGTTTCAATAGTCAACAGCAAAATAAGCTGTTTGACAGAAAAAACTTTGGCAGATTTTTCATGTGCACAACTCACAAATGCAAGTTCCTTACAAATGTGGCACCAGGTCGGGAAATTAGGTTTTCCAACACAGTAAATGATTTATCACTAAGAAGCATTGTTACAACAAAGAAATAATCTACCAAACACTAATTTACTTCTTTTTTTGGGGAGGCTAAGATTACATTTTGGCACAATGCACTCTTGACATGTTGCTTTATTTTTAGCCAATAACCATTCTAACACTGATTTAAAATTTGAAACCGTGTGTCTAACAGGCCAGGTTCTCCTACCTACACATGAAGTACCTGTTCTTCTCGTGGCTGGTGGTGTTTGTGGGAAGCTGGATAGTTTACGTGCAGTACTCGTCTTACACAGAGCTGTGTCGAGGGCATGACTGCAAAAACTCCATAGTGAGTACATCACTGTCCTGTAGGCAGTCAAACTGTAAAACCACACTATGGTCATGTGTGTGTTTCTTTCTGTCTTTTCAGTGTGACAAATACAGAAAAGGAATCATCGACGGCTCAGCCTGCAGCAGCATGTGTGAGAAAGAAACACTTTACCTCGGAAAGTGCTTCACTGCCAAACCCAGCAGTCAGGTCGGTCTATTTTTGTTTCACTTTCCAGGTGTGCTCAGTTCGAGTCCAGACGCTCCTCAGACCTGTCTTGTTCGTTGCAGGTTTACTCAGGGAACTGGGGAGATTTGCAGGGAGTAATCAAGTGTCAGATGGAGGAGGCCCCTCACTATGAGCTGGGAGGTGAGATGGAGCCCAGGAAGGAAGCCGCTGCTTTTAACAAGCCCACCAAGGGAACCTCAGTGGAAAAGTTCAGAGAGATGATAATCAACCACCTAAAGGTCAGAGAGGCTCAGCATCAGGTCTAACCTTGGTTTGTCTTACAGGAATAGTTAGTGTTTTGTCAAACTGAAGGAAATTTTGTAAATGATTAACTGAATGTTTGATGCAGTTTTGTATTTTTACGCCTTCTGATCATTGCAGCCTAAAGTTTAAAACAAAGAGTTGTTGTGTGTGTTATCATGTGTTATTTCTGTAGAAATAACATGTGAGTAACACTGTTATTTCTAAACAAAAAGGAGTTACGTTCTGACGTCTGAAGTAAAAGGTAACAACACCTCCAGGGGTGTAACCAGGAAGAGATGTACATTATAAGGTCAAATCATAATTATAGTAAAGAGAAGTTGTTAGTGTGTTGCAGAGTCTCTGCTCAGAGCAGAGCTGCTGTGCTTTGTTTGGGGTTTAGCTTTACGCTGAGGCCTGCTGAGTGCTGTACGAACCTGACTGGAGTCAGAAGATGAGAATAAAGTTTTGAGAAGAAATCCAAGTGGATTCCTGTTTATTCAGACATGCTGTTTTTGAACAGCGCACTATTTCTACAAAACAATAATCAATAGATGGTGCCTTATAAGCCATGACATCAATCACAGAGCACAGAAAATGC